GTCCCCGACCCCATGAGACCACTGGAACAGAACCCACAGGGAAGCACAGAGTGCTTGCGGTAGTCGGTTGGAAGGAAGAAGCCTAAGTTCCCGCCAAACGTCCTCGCTGATCCCTAGCAGGTCTCCACCTCTCGCTGCATCTGTCGCCCCATCTGTAACAAGAAGGAGTCGATACCAGCACCAGCAGCGGATATGGGGAGGAGGAGGTAGCCCCAAGCCGGGGACTCCAGCAGTTTATCCACCAACTCCCCACCCAGATCCCCACGCCCCCAACCGCACTGGCCAAGGAGGTCCTGAACTCAAGATCACCGAAGTGAATCCTTCCGCGGTTTTCGCGTGCTTTGAGAAACTTCCGGTTTCGTCTAGGAAGTCGGAGGTCTGCACATCTCGTTGGTCTTTAGACCTGGGCTTGGGTCTCTGCGGGGTTCCTAGAGGCCAGTGGATAAAGAAAACACATTCCCCGCCCTCCTCCTCCCCCCCCCCGTTTCCCTTGAGACAACATTTTCTGACATCGTTAATCCTTCCTGCGGAAGAAATCTGAAAGGAATTAAAAAACAGGAATGAAAGAGTCAGAGCAATGGGAGAAGAAAGCAGGTCTAAAGACCTCAATTCAAGGGCTTCCTTAACATTTTCAGCCAGCAAAATATTGCCAAGCCTCCAGATCCTCGCCTGCAAACTAATGATGCTGTCTTACACAGGCTCTGGGAGTGCACAGCAGACATACAGATATGAGAGTTGTTCCTGTCTCTTTCTCTCCAAATCCCTCAAGAGAGCTGGATATCACAGGCAACTTGCCATGACTGAGACTTTATCAGTTTCCTTCTCAGCCTTGAAGCTTTAATCAAGGACACATTTCTTGGTGGCCAAATTAGGCTCTTTGCTGGATATCAGGGAAACAAAGGTGGCCTGGCTGGGCTGGGGATGTGGCTCAAGCGGTAGCGCGTTCGCCTGGCATGCGTGCGGCCCGGGTTCGATCCTCAGCACCACATGCCAACAAAGATGTTGTGTCCGCCGAAAACTAAAATAAAAAATAAATATTAAAAAAATTCTCTCTCTCTCTCTCTCTCTCTCTCTCTCTCCCCCCCCCCCCCTTCTCTCACTCTCTCTTTAAAAAAAAAAAAAAAAAAAAAAAGATGGCCTGGCTGTATAGAGTTCTCCTCCTAAAGAGTTCTCCTTCTAAACAAAACAAAGCAAGACATCCAACAAAGCGTGGAGTTAGCAGCTGGTATTGGCATCAGACCTGCCATTTTAGTTCAGGAGCCATTTTTATCTAGTGACTCCTAAGTTTCAATTTAGGAGCCATTTTATCTAGAGATCCTAAGGCAATGCTGCTTAGCCTGTGCCTGCTAAAGGGTCAATGCCATCCCAGCCCATGACCCTCAAAGTATGCTTGTGAAATTCCTCTTGCGGGCTATAAAGCTGCCCTGTGAGTGCCCACCTGCTGCTGTTCTTCTTGGAGGGAAAGCCTGGTCAGTTTGCTCTGACAATAAATCTCTTGAGCGGAATTCTGGTGTGTGGTGTGGTCTTTGGACTTTGCGTGGACTCTTCGAGTGTCCTTTCACCTAGGGACTTGATTGTGAATTAAAGAGACTTGCTCACATGGAGCTTACAGTAAGGGAGTTGTAGTAATAAGTCGGTGTTAATACAGTAAGGCAAGAAAGGTCCATGACAAGAATATGGGAGGTTACTGCAGAGGCACAAAAGAAGAGGTACCTAATTTAGGTTGGGAAGGTGTACAAAGAAGATTTTCCCAGAGAAGGGGCTTCTCAATTAAGTCTTAAAGGATGAGTAAGAGTTTTTGAGATGAAAGGAGAGTCTTTGTGCTCTCCTTGCTGAGCTTGGGCCCCATCCACTCCCATTGAAGCAAGGTAGCTGAGATTTTCTTCCTATATCAGCAAACCTCCTTCGGAGTGTCTAAGACCCCAACTTTTTTTAGGGTGTACATGAATGTTCTGACTGTTGAAAAGGGATGTCCACCAAGATGATGTCAGAAGGTCTGAGTAGTTTGCAGGCAGCAAATCCACTGACCTGACTGTGCTCCTTTCTTTGTGGTCTTCTTAATCTAAATGGTCCCTAAGGGGACACTTTTCAAAGCTTCCCCTACCCCAGGTAGGACTTAACACAGAAGAGGAGATAATAGTGATGTAGAGCAGCATAGTAAGTGGTATAGGTATCTTAAAAGAATACACCAAGACTGTGTTTTTCTAAAATAGATGGCATCATGGGTAGAGCTTCAAGTCTTTGGGTTAGATAGTGTATTTTGCATTAGAAAAGTAGAACTTGGGTTCCTTGTGTGGTAGCTCTCATACCAAACTTTTTTTGATGGTTTCCAATAAAAAATCAGGATAGGTTACAGAATTACTGCAAGCCTTCTCAAGGTCATTTTTGGCCAAAATGTAGGTCTCCCAAAATGTTATATGGGAAGCATAGTGAGGCATGTCTTGCCTATTTTGACCCAGCTCAGCTGTGGTAGATAAGGCCCACAATGCCAAACATAGATGAGCTTTTTCTGAAGTCCAGAAACACTGCTTAGATGTCTCCAGCCATCACAGACAATGAAAGCCAACTAGCTGAGCATGAAATACCTCTGAGGAATTAAAAACAAAACAAAACAAAACCAAAAAACCCTCTATTATTGCCTATGTATTGCCTAATGTAGGAATCTCCTACATTAGGCAGCCAGAACTGCAGGACAGCACATGGTCAGAGAAACTTGGAGATAAGAACTGACAGCTTTTGGGGCTGGGGTTGTGGCTTAGTGGTAGGGCACTCACTTAGCATGGGTGAGGCACTGGGTTGGATCCTCAGCCTCACATAAAAATAAATAAAGTCATTGTGTTCATCTATAACTAAAAACAAAATATTAAAAAAAAAGAACTGACAGCTTTTGACCTGTCCTTAAGAGAATTTCTGCCAGGCATGGTGGCACATGCTGTAACCCTAGCAGCTTCCAGAATGGAAGATCAAAAGTTCAAAGCCAACCTCAGCAACTTAGTGAGACCCTAAGTAATTCAGCAAGACCCAGTCTCTAAATAAAATAATAAAAAGGGCTGGGGATGTGGCTCAGTGGTTAAGCACCAATGGGTTCAATCTCCAGTACCAAAAATAATTCCTGCTCAAGAACCTTGGGCCTTGTTCTTTTTCAATATTCTTTTTCAACGTGTGAGTAAGGCATCCAAGCTCTCCAAGACTCAAGTTGTCTGCAAATCCATCCCTGGTGTTCTTCCCATTATTAGCCAGACTCAGAAAGAAAAACCTCAGAAAATTCTACAAGGGCATGCAGTACAAGCCCCTGGACCTGTGGCCCAAGAAGATGTGAGCTACATGCCACTGAATCAACAAGGAAGATTTGAGATCCAAGAAGCAGCAGCAGAAAGAACAGCTGTATCCTCTACAAAACTAGGCAGTAAAGGCCTGAGTGCCATGCTGAAATAAAACACAAAACTGGCAAAAAAAAAAAAAAAAAAAAAAAGCAAATCCATGGACCTCTAAGGCTTTGATGGCCCAATAGGCTATATCCAGCCGCAATGCCATGCATATAGGCCCAGACTGCCTTGACCTCCTCAGATAGGAATTGGGGGAATAAAGAGAAAGATACTGAGTTTCAAAGGAAATTCCCATAAACCATGGAAATGCAGAAAGCACACAAACAAACAATTGCAACTCCTGAGGGACATGCCCTTGGCTTAGGCCTTTGACCCATGTCCTTAATAAATATTAACATCCACATCAATGGGTTGCTGTCTCTTTTGAGATTGCCCCCAATCTCCCTTGAATATATATCCACTTTCCTAAATAAACAACTGTCTGTCTAAGCCTTTAGTGAGTAATGAAAATTTTTTCTATCATATGCCAAGAATCCTTTGGTCCTGAGTTGAGTTCTCCCTTTTCTCCAGAAATTTCTCAGACACTTCTTCAAAGATATCTCTTCTTCCAAGACACTGTCAAATTTCCAAATATAGGGGTGACTTTGATGTCAGAAGGTCACATTAGGCTCAGTGGACAAAGACTGTTCTGAAAGATCTCTAATCCTGTGAAAACTCTGAGGTACGACTTCCCCTGCCTTTGTCTCTATTATTGCCTTCACATATATATATATATATATATATGAGGGACAGATGTCAGAGCCTGAGGTAGGCCCAGGACTCCTCCTGATATTGCTGATCCCTGGACAGCCCAGGAGACTATTTACTTTGGATCCCATAAAGAACCCACTTACTGGACTATGAGGAGATACATAAAAATATATAGTCAATTCCATCTGGAAGTGGTCCATCTTATCTTCTGTCCTTCTCTCCATGCCATTGCACCCAGCGATTGTGCCTCCAAGGCCTGCTCCATCATGTTAACAGCAAGGACGTGTTGACATCCCTAGTTTTATATGTCAACTATTCTTCAAGGTGAAGAATACATCTGGGTTAACACTTGTCCCCCAAAACAAGACAACTGCATCTCAGATTATAAATTGTCCTCATACCTTCCTACTTTTCATCTGCTCTTTGTCCGTCTCTGGCACTGCCTCAGGAAAACATTAACCACATTTCTGGGCCTACGTCTTTACTTATAACACACAGTCTAACTGGTCATGCTGAGAATATGCCAGCCTTTCTGTTTTGTCGCGAGTGTACTCGTGCACTACTACCTGCCCCGTAAGGCATGAGTTATGTTTTGCACTTTTCAGATAGGGTGAACAGACCCAGCGACTCTTTCACCAAGGTCACCAGGAGGGGAAGGGCCACAACCGGGGTGAGCAAAGGTCTCCCCTACACTGAATTGCCTGAGAACCGGATGTGGGCAGCCGGACGCCTCAGGTGAGCCAGGCTCTGGCTCCAGTCGCTGGCGGCCCCGCCCCTCACCACCCCGCCCAGGACTCCCCCAACTCTCGCCTGGGAGGGCGCGCACACCTCCCAACTAGACTTCCGGGATCCCGTAGAGGCCGGAAGCGGGGCTCTCTCACTTCCGACTCTGCCATTATTTTCACTTGTTTGGGCCGGGGAAAGTGTACCGTGTCCGCGCTTAGTGGTCGCGTATGTGGACCGGTGCGGAGAGGGAGGGTCGGCCGCCGGGGTCGCCGGACCCGCGCTGCGGTGGCCAGAGCCTGGGGCGGCGCGATCCCTGCGGCGCTCCGGTGGCGCCTCTTTGTCGCGGTCATCTGACCAGCCGTGTCTGGCTTGGAGCCGGCGGAACGATGAGCAGGGCAGACGTGGCCAGGTGAGCGGCGCTGCAGAGATGTAGGTACTGTGTGCCCAGCCCTGCACCTCGAGATGAGAAGGAGCGTCAGAAATGGGTCCGACCCAGCCTTGGCATTTCAAACGTGAATTGTGACTTGGAAACGCAAAAGCCCAATTTGAGATGCGCTGCTGAGCATTCGAACAGTCAGGGAAGCAGAAAGATGGCCTGCACTTCCTACCTGTGTGGAATCTCAGTAGACTTCACAGATAAGTCCAGCTTTGTCTTTTTGAGGAAATTGAAGTCCAGAGAAAAATAGCTTACCCAGGGATTCGGGAGCATGGTGATTGGGCAGCATAACATCTACACCCTAGATATCACCCGGGTGCTGGTTTTCAAATAGCCATTTTACAGTGTATAAACTGGACAAACGTTTCCCCCAAACTTCAATATCAGCTAAATGAACCTCATTCTTTGGTTTACCAGATATGCGCTCCTCTGTGCCATGTACACACACGTACAAAGATGCCTGGAAGCCAGCCCTGCCCTTGAGTCCTCCCAGTGAATCTTCCCAGGAAGTGGTCGTGGTGGTTGAGGGAGACCCATGTCAACTATGATTACAGTGTAAAGAAGCGATCTGGCAGAGGTATGAGTGAAAAACACCCTGTGGGTTCACTGAGGCAATAACCAGTCTGAAGCTGGAAAGGAAAGCTTTGTAGGGAAGACTAGAAAAGGACTGGAATTTTCTGGTTCCTTTATTTTGGTGGCCATTCAGCAGTTTTGGAGGACATGAGTGGTGAATTGCGCATAGAACAGTATCATAATGAGAGGTACAGCAAGGAAAGCTACCAGCTCTCTTCCTAAGGGGGCAATCAGGAAAGCCTTAATGAGTATTGTTTTGGGTCTGGAAGCATTAGTAACAGTTTGTTAGAAATTGAGAAAAGGAAAACAGGGAAAGTGTATGTGGCTTCAACTTGTTTCTCCACAGTGTTAGCCCCAAATTTTAGTGTGCACCTCTATCAGTAAGTTTTAACATGCACTCCCAGCACGCTTATTCATAATTTAAAGATATGTACTACTATACAAATTTCAATACATATTATAAAGTGTAAATAAATAGAGGAGTTGAATTACATCTTAGCTCCCCCCGCCCCATCCTTTGGGATATCTTGCATATTCCACATTGGAGACCATTGCTGTTTTTCTAGTCTGCGTACATGGGGAAAAGCCAGGGGATTGGCTGGGCTGCCAAGAGTTGTGAATGCCAGGCATAGACATTGAGGTTTTATCCTGTAGATGATGGGATTAAAAGTTTAGTAGGTAAGTAGGTCCCAAGAGATGCACAGAGAGATGGCTCTCATTGTGCTCTTTTTCCTGGAACTTTGTTTTTTAACTATGTGGAGGATCTGTCATCATCCTGGAATTAAATACTCTGAGAACTCTGATTTCTTTCTTGATGTTTCTTTAGGTGACACTCCACCTTCTTCCCCAACCCTGAAGAAATATCTCCTGAGATCTGAACTGTAGTCTTTCATTTTAATTGGACTACCTGCAACTGGAACAAGCTTCTCTTTGGAATCATAATGACCACAGAAGGCAGGGGAACTTTTGGCCTAATCCCCAGGAGCTCTGTTTTCCAGAAGCAGGCTGGGTGTCTGACTGTGAAGCAGCAGCCAGGGAACCAGACCAGGGGACCGAGCTGCAGTCTCCTGAAGAACCACCCTCCTGTCTGTGAAATCTTCAGGCTGCACTTTAGGCAGTTATGTTACCATGAGATGTCTGGGCCTCAAGAGGCACTAAGCCGGCTCAGGGAGCTTTGTCGCTGGTGGCTAATGCCAGAAGTTCACACCAAGGAGCAGATCCTGGAGCTACTGGTGCTGGAACAGTTCTTGAGCATCCTTCCTGTGGAGCTCCGAACCTGGGTGCAGCTTCATCACCCTGAGAGTGGTGAGGAGGCTGTGGCTGTGGTGGAGGATTTCCAGAGACACCTCAGTGTACAGGAAGAGGTAAACAGTGGAGTCTAGAATAGCATCTGGAAACCATTCTCTAGTGCTTGAGTTAGCTTGGGGAATAGGCATCCTCTGTTCCTTAGGTTCTAGGCTGATTTGCCTTTAGGATTTCCAAACCTAATCCATGGAGAAAGGATAAATAATTTTATGCTCCAGTCCATAAACAAAAATGCAAATCCCAGCTAAGCCCTGAATGACTTTGTGAAATACTATGCTGTGAGCCTGCCTATAGCCTGGAGATCACATAAGACTCCTGGCAGGCAGGGGATCTGCACAGTGGTTAGAATATGGGGATAGATGAGAAGGAGCCTTCATTTGAGAAGTTCTCATTAGTTTTGTGAACTTCTCAAAGTCAGTTCTCTCTCTTCCTGCCTCTTAGGTCCTTTATGAGAAATGACGTTTCAGGGCCTCCTGATTAGTTCTTCCTTTTGCTAGCTTTTCCAAGCCCAACAGGGACTTTTTTCTTCAGTACTAGGGATTAAATCCAGAGCCTCATGCATGTTAGGCAAGCACTCTACTACTAAGTTACATCACCAGCCCTTTTAAAAATATTTGAAACAGGGTCTCACTAAGTTGTCTAGGCTGGCCTCAAACTTATTATTCTTCTGCCTTAACTGGGATTATAGCTGGAATTATAAGTGTGTACCAGTGTACCTGGCCCAACTGGCATCTTTTTACCTCTTTAATTCTAATTTCAATTTTCTTTATTTCTGGGGTTCTCTCAAATTTAAGGCCAAGGTAGCTTGAACCAGAGGAATAGTTGGAAAGAGTCAGAAGTATGGTACATTGGAAAATCTGACTTGTAGGACCACAGAGCTAAATACATCTGTAACCATGTGTATTAGTTAGGGTTCAGCCAGAACAGCAGAACAAGTAGAAGATGTTTGTGTGTCTGTGAAGAGATTTATTGCTGAAAAGTGGCTAATGTGATTGTGGCTGGCTAGATAAGTCTGAAATTCACAGGGAAACCATCAACAAGGGCAAGCTGGAACTCTCCGGTATAGCTGCAGTGCACAGGCAGAGATTTTCTTCATGAAACCTTCAGCTCTGCTTTTAAGGCCTTTGAACTGATAAAGTCAAGCCCATTCATCCATCATCCAGGGTAATCTCCCTTATTTAAAGTAAACTGAGTGTGGACTTTAATCAGATCTACAAAGTACTTCGAAGCAACACCTGGATTAGTGTTTGGGGAATGCCATGTTGACACATGACACCATTAAGTTAATTCCTCCTACTGAGCTTCTAGCTGCTCACCTTCATCCCTTCAACATTACCTCTTTATACTTTACCAGGGAAAACTAGTACAAAAAATTTCCCAAATACCCAGCAGGCCATTTTATTCAGTGCTTTTTAAAAAATAATTGCATATCTATAAATATGTCTACCTAATCATCCCAGGTGATTGGAGTCCTGGGACTAGATGTTGTCCAGTCAATGCATATTTGATTGAATTTGTTGTCAGCTGTCATTTCCTTTGTGTAAACAAGTAAGCATACATGAATAAATCAATCATCACAGCTCAGGTTAACAGGTAAGGAGCAAAACACTCATGGCTCCAGCCTAAGCCTGGGGTTCCTGGTCAGTGTTATATTTTCTGACGTGAACACATGAGGGGAAGATTGTCTTTCCTAGCAGGCTTTCATAAAATGTTTATAGAATAACTAAAGGAATAAATACACTTTTCTAGGATAGTTTGCCAGGAAGAGATTAGGGAAGTTTAGGGCAAATCAGAGCCATTCTTCCCATCAGGAGCAAGTCACTTTATTGCTGGAGGAAGAGCATGGACATGAATGTCCCTGGGAGCTGGAGAGAGTTATAGAGTAATTCCTGTGGAGCAGCAGAATCATGCAATTAACAAAATGTTTTTGTATCTTGTATCTTATTTCAGCTCCTACGAGGCTTACAAAATTGGTGTTGTAGCAGTCATCATCCCCATTTGAAAAGTGAAGTAAGCCCAGGGAGGTTGATTGACTTATCTAGATTAAGCATCTAGTATGCATTGATTTTAGCCAAAGTATTGTTATTGCTGATTACCACCAAGTGTCAGGACCAAGATTTTCTGCCTCCCTACATTCTGAGCCACTACATCTTTCTCTAGTCTCTTGCTGTAGAATACCAATTTAGAATGGAAATTGAAATGAGATTTTCATGCTTTCAAGGAAAGAAAACCAATACATCCCTGATAAGGAATTGGAAGTGTACTAGAATTTAATTGTCAGCAAATCACAAGGTTGTGTTAACACAGTGCAGTTAAGTTCTATCATCTGCCCATACCCATAGCTACTGTACTGAAAAGCTGTGAATCCTATTTGTAAGAACCTTCCAGTGAAGAACTTGGGAACCACACTGTTGAGATTTATTAAAGGACAAGTCCCTTGACATCTCAGCAGATGTTGCCAAGAAGCTAATCTGGCATGGTTTATTAAAGAAGTTATTTTCATTTCATGCTGTCTCATACATGCCAGAGCAAGTGCATTTTACTTTTTTAAAAATTCACTTTTCATTACTGGGTATCAAACCAGCGTAGTTAACCACTAAGCTACCTCTCCATTCCTTTTTACTTTTTATTTTGAGACAGGGCTTCACTAAGTTGCAGAGGCAGGCCTTGAATGTGTGATCCTCCTGTATCTACTCCCAAGTCAGTAGGATTATAGGCATATACAACCACACTCAGCATAAATATACTTTTTTTTTTTATAGATAATGATTTGTGTTTTCTGCTCCAAGTACTGCTAAAAATAGTAATCATGAGCTTGTGGGGAGCTGGTTTGGTGACTAGCGCAGGTTGGAAATAAAATGGCTATGTTCTAAGGTGTTTTCAAGATCTCTAAAGATGGATGTTATCTGACCTTATTTGACTTTTTAATACGAATTTTTGGTGAGAGGTAGAATATATTGAAAACTGAGTTTGCAGGTAACCCTAAAGACCCTTAGCAACATTTCAAGGGGAAGTCAGTCAGCAGATATTAATTGAACACTAGTGTTGGGCCAAGCATTTCTTTAGGAGCTAGTGATCAAGACAAAGTTCATATACTCACAAAACTTAATATTCCAGTGGGTAAAAATGACAATAGGGATGTAAATAAGATAAAGAGTATTATATATATCTGGAAATTATAACTGGGTAATTTAAGAGAGAATGTCTATCCCTGCTTTGTTAATGTGTTCAGGGAAGACTTCTCTGAAGAGGAGACACTTTGAAAGAAGTTGGAAAAGCTTTCTTAAGGTTTTTTGTCCAGTGTTCTGGGGAATTGTTTCATCTGTCAGCTTCAGAAGCTATTTTACGTAATCAGGTGTCACATGCCTGTTATTTCTTACTTCTTCTCTAGTTCTTATTGTTCTCTTATGGAGTCTAAGGCCCTAGAGAATGTACTGAATTGCTGTTCTTGCTCACATTTCTAGATGGTTCTTTGTAAGCAAATTTGTGTCTGAAGACCTAATACCGAGTGGAAATGGTTATAGAATCTGTTCCTCAAGCTCTTACCAAGAGACTCAACAGAGGGATGGCAAGTAGGAGTGCAAGCTTCAGATTTTGTCAGAAGAACACTGTGGCTCTTCTTTCCCTGGGTTTCTTCCTAGAAGGGGCTTCATAGAGGTTTTGGGTTCTGTACCTTCAAGGATGCTCTTTTTGAACCCAAATTATATTTCCTTATCTCTAGGTTTCAGCCTCAGCACAGGAACAGGAAGTACATATGGAGGAGACAACAGTTCTGGGTACAACAGAGGAATCTCCTACCTCACCTCTCAGTGGGGGTTCAGCCCCTGGAGCCCACCTGGAACCTCCTCATGACCCAGGGGCACACCACCTCCCCAATGGGCATTTCGGTACTCATATCCCCAACTCATACCTCAAGCTACACTTCTCATCTGTCCTCTGGGGTCTCCTTTCCTTCATCTTTATGTCTCACATCTACTGGAATCCTGCATTGCCCTGCTATCTGGCCTCCTTCCTTTAATGACCTCATCTGTTCCTTTTACTTATTTTCCAATCATGTGTGCATTTAGCAAGTTTTTTCAAGCACATAGGAAACACACTGCTGGGGACCAAAGAGATACAGTACTGTATCTTTAAAGAATTATTATGTATACTGTCATGTGTAACTAATTAAAACAAAATTTTTTAAAAAAAGAGTTATTATGTAGCCCGGGCGTGGTGGTGTAGGCCTATAATCCCAGCGCTTAGGAGGCTGAGACAGAGGATCGGGAGTTCAAAGCCAGCCTCAGCAGAAAACAAGGTGCTAAGCAACTCATTGAGACCCTGTCTCTAAATAAAATACAAAATAGGGCTGGGGATATGGCTCAGTGGCCGAGTGCCCATGAGTTCAATCCCCACTACCCCTCCCCTCAAAAATGTTATTATGTATGTAGCAAGGAGTTAATCGAATATGTAAAAAAAGTCAACCTTATAAGATATATATGAGTGATATATATGAGTGATATCTCTGGCATTTGATCCTCTCACAAATGAACAATGAAGGCAAGAGGAAACTGGTAGACTGTTAGTAGAGGATTTAGGCAAAGACCCTTGAGCAGTCATTGAGGTGGAGTCAAGGAGAGCTGTATTTGAGATTCAAAGCCCTGCTTGTATTGGAATTTTGACATCGAGGCTAGCAAAATTGAGGGGTGGTTGAAGAAATAGTTTCTCAGGAGGATTACACAGCTGTAGGGGAATATTGTGTATTGAATTATATGGAGCCTCAATAGAGGACTAGTGCAGTAAAATATGCAAATAACTACCTGAACATGGTGGGTAACATGGAAAAGGATAGGTCTGAGAAATACAGGAATGGACAAATTCATAGATGGGGGAATAGTAGGCTTTTTCTCAATGAAGGACTTATGGACAAAATGTGGGAAATCAGGAAAGGAAGGTGGTAAGAAACTGCATTTTAGAAAATCAATTTAAGGTATCTTCAGAGATCAAAGTGAAATGCCCAATACATAGCTGTGATAGGGGTCTGAAAGGAGAAGTGAGAAGTATGAGAGCCAGTGAGCTCGTGGACATAAAAAGAACACTGGGCTGGGCTTCCAAGCGTGTCCATAATGACATGGCAGGGACAGGAAGAGACAGCTGGACATGAGGAACCAGAGACCTGAGGGGAAATCAGGTTTGACCAGTGATAGGGAAGCCATTGCAGAGAGAACATGGTCAGACACGGCTTCCTTCAGAGAGATTGAGGAGAGTGCAGTTTAGGAGCAAACCCAGTTCTTAGTTTGACTAGGGAATTCTCACTGTGCCCTCCAGGGAACAGCCACAGCACACTTGGGGTAAAGCCTTTAGGAGGAGAGCCAAGAGTCAGTGTGCATGGAGCTGCTTGGGTTCTCTTGAATCCTCTCCTTGGGAATATAGTTCTTATGGGAGCTGAGGGCTGGAGTCAGCCCACTCAGTGCTTTCTTTCCTCCCTCAGCTCAACTTGCATCTATAGTTCCGGCTCATTCCCAGATGGGGAATTCAGGAGACCAAGTAATGGCCACTGTGCTTCAGATGGTCAAGGCCCAGGTGAGTGTGGCTCTTTCTCTTTTTCCCAAGTTCCTGTGCCTTTGGCCCAAGAATATCTAGAGCTTATCTGTGAGACTGCCACATAAGAGCCAGCTACTATAACTCTTGCCTAACTTCTTACATTGGAGCTGGGTTCCTACTTGTAGTTAAGGAATTTTTGTCTTGCCCTGGACTTGGCCTTTCCAAAGAGTCATCCAAACTCCTTTCCCCTGCCCCTTTGCCCACCAAAAACCAGTACCCTGTGACATCTACACCTGATGACTCTGCCCTTCAGCCTGGGACTGTACCTGAGCAGTAGAAGCTTGTTATTCCAGGAGACTGCCACAAATGAGGACCTGTCAGTGGACTGTACACAGAAGAAGTGGAAAGGCCCTGCTGTCAGGCAGAGAGTCCTGTACCGGAACACAATACTGGAAAACTACAGCATCATGAACTCACTGGGTAATGATTTTCTTTCCTATTAACTTAAGAGTCTGCATTTTATACATTTTCTTGGCTATGTTATTTTTCTTTTATTTTTACTTTTATTACAAACATTTACATTTCCAAACAAAGTATAGTGAACCTTGCTGCACTTACCACCTAACTTTAACAATGATCAATATTTCCGTTATATCATGTTTGATGTCTGTATGGTGGCTAGTTTAGATTTTCTAAGTTGTAAGGAATAGAGAGTCACTTAGTTTATGGTCGGTAAAGAGCTATGTGTTTTAAGGCTTATAGTAATGGGAACCTAGAACAAATTGATCAGCTAGACTAGAACGTAGGAAATAGCCTCAAGAAGAATGAGCTACATCCCAGGACAGCCCAGAAGCCTCAGCATCACAGGCAAATAAATTTTACATGAGTGGTCCAATATGAATGTAACATAGCTACTCCTTGTGTCTGGTTCCTCTCTTCTTACCCATTTATTTACTCTAAAACTTTTATCCCCATCATACTTCCTCAATTCTGTTTTTGATTTCCTCATACATTCTTATTGTGGATTCTAATGGTTTGACTTGGCCCATGCATCATTTCAGCCTTAGGTCTTACTTCTAATTGCTATAATTTTGCTCAGTTTCCAGGACAAAATTTACTTAGAGAGGGTTCTAATTGCTACAGGCACTAAATATCATCTATACTTTGGTAGTGTCTGGCCCAGACGCAGCAGAATCTAATGACTAACTTACAGACAGATTGTACTTGGGCCTAGTGCCTGGCCTTGGTCCAATCATCTGGGGTGGAATGCCCAGGGTCACTTGCTGCCAAGTATGGTTGCATGGATTTCTCTCTCTGCAAAAACCAGGGAAGGTTAGATCCTGTGATTTACAAACTTATGACACTAGCCAACTTGTCCGAGGGTGAACATGAGAATCATCTTGTGATTTTCTATATACTAAATGGTGTTATAGCCTAACTGTAGCTAAAAGAGGATTGAAGGGAACCCACCTAGTTTTTAGTGATAACCTATACTACTGTGCCTTTCCCAAGATTTCAAGGTAAATGCTTAACTCTTCAGTTTCCTTATTCTAAAAAATCAAGATCTTTAAGACATTTAATTCATATTTGAAATTATTGATAATTTTTGGTTTTATGGGAGTACAGAACTTTCTCCTAGCATTCACTGCTTGGGGACCCAGCCTATCCACTTTTGAGTTCTGCCATCTCCTTCAACACTGTTCCACAATATTTCTGAACCCATACCCACATCTTGTCACTGTCCTGTCATACAGAATCTCTCTTTTTTATAAACTTTCCTAGTCATATTCTCACAACATAATCTCTCACCAACTCACTCCTATCTTTGCCCTCTCTCTTGTATTAAACTTGAAGTGTTTGCTAGCTTTCTCTCTCCCAACATCTTTTCTGGTAGCCATGGCTGGAAAGGAATGTAGAGTTTGTCATTTTACCCAAGAGACAGCATCATAGTAACTTCTGGAAGAGTGTACTATGCTTTGCCACCTCAGCCCTTGTTTTTGATTGTCTGTCTATCTGTTCTGGCTCAACATCTTGTCTGTCCTGGTATCTCTTTTTCTACCCTCTTCCACTTTTGTTTTTCTATCCTGAATTTTTAAAAAATTAACAAATTGAGATATTTCCTATTTCCTCTTCCCTTCTAAAGTTGTTCTTTTATTCCTTAACCATAAAGGTGACTTTTTTTTTTTTTTTTTTTGGACACTAAGCTCTTGGTTCTGTTTCCAGAACAGGGCATGAAGTGAGTAAAGGTTATTTTCTTCTTTCTTTTGGCAGCAGGTGAGAACAGGATGGAGAGTTCTGAATTCACTCCAAAGCAGACCATTTCTAAAGGATCAGAGTCATCAGATAGGTCACCAGGGGGACTCTTTGGGGTGACTTCTATGGGACCAGAATTTGAAGATGTCTGTGAAGATACTTTGAGGAAGCTGGAAGGGCAGCCCTCAGATGAAGAGGGGAACAGTTTGGAAATCAATTTTTTGGAGATAACAGATGAGGATAAGAAGAACTCCACAAAAGACAGATGTGAGGATTATAAGGAAGTAGGGGAACATCCAAATCTGTCCCCCAGTCCTGAGGCATATCAAGGAGTCCCAAAGGGACAGAAATTCTTTCAGTGTGATGAATGTGGCAAAGTGTTCTATCGGAGTTCACACCTCATTGGCCACCAGAGAATCCACACTGGAGAGAAACCCTATGAGTGTAATGAGTGTGGTAAGACCTTCAGGCAGACCTCCCAGCTAATTGTTCACCTCAGAACTCACACTGGGGAAAAACCCTATGAATGCAGTGAGTGTGGGAAGACGTATCGGCACAGCTCCCATCTCATTCAACACCAGAGACTTCATAATGGGGAGAAACCCTATAAATGTAATGATTGTGCAAAAGCTTTCACTCAGAGTTCTCAACTCATTGATCACCAAAGAACCCATACTGGGGAGAAACCTTACGAATGCAATGAGTGTGGAGAAGCATTCATTCGGAGCAAAAGTCTTGTCCGACATCAGGTTCTTCACACTGGTAAGAAACCTTACAAGTGTACTGAGTGTGGGAAAGCCTTCTGTTCTAACAGAAATCTTATTGACCATCAGAGGATCCACACTGGAGAGAAGCCTTATGAATGTAATGAATGTGGCAAGGCCTTTAGTCGGAGTAAATGTCTTATTCGACATCAGAGCCTCCACACTGGGGAGAAACCATACAAATGCAGTGAATGTGGGAAAGCCTTCAGTCAGAATTCTCAACTCATTGACCATGAACGAATTCATACTGGAGAAAAGCCCTTTGAATGTAGTGAGTGTGGTAAGGCTTTCAGTCTAAGTAAGTGCCTTATTCGGCACCAGAGGCTTCACACAGGTGAAAAACCCTATAAATGCAATGAGTGTGGAAAATCCTTCAATCAAAACTCTCACCTCATTATACACCAGAGAATCCACACTGGTGAGAAGCCCTATGAATGTCATGAGTGTGGGAAGGTGTTCAGTTACAGCTCTAGCCTTATGGTACATCAGAGAACCCATACTGGGGAAAAGCCCTACAAATGCAATGATTGTGGGAAAGCCTTTAGTGACAGTTCACAGCTTATTGTGCACCAGAGAGTTCACACTGGAGAGAAACCTTATGAATGTATTGAGTGTGGGAAAGCTTTTAGTCAGCGTTCCACTTTTAATCACCACCAGCGAACTCACACTGGTGAGAAACCTTCGGGTATGTCTCACTCAGCATCATAAGGCATGGTTTTCTTGAAAAAGAGAATAAGGAACTTCAGTGAAGTTTTTTTTTTCCTTGGTGATACTGGGGATTGATAATGGTAAAAGGCCTTTCCCATGCTAGTCAAGCATTCTGCTACTGTGCTGTTTCCTAGCCCTTTTTCAGAATTTTTATTTTTGAGACAGAGTCTCACTAAGTTTCTCCCGCTGGCTTTGAACTTTCAATCCTCCTTCCTCAGCCTTTAGATTAGCTGGAATTACAGGTATGCACCATTGTGCCCAACTTGAAGCTTTCTTTATAAGAATCATGTTCATCCTGGTCTCCCTTGGAACCTTTCATCTAAGTGGACCATTCTCAATTTTTATTGAGTCACCAAATTGGGAATAACTTACTGCAGTCCTTCTCCATTATTGGGAAAGTAAGGACTATGCATTTCATTTACTTGTTGGTTTCCCTATTCCTTTATTTTTTGAAACTTTTAATGTCTACCTCATTTTTTATTTATCCGTCCCACAATCAGACTGTGTGCTTCTCAAGGACAAAGGTAATTTCTGTGTATTTTAGGTCCCCCGTTCACCATTTCCTAAAGGCATTCTTCAAGCTATGATTCCTTCTCTTCCTCTTGGCTTGTCTCCATGTAGTGTTTAAGCTTTCTGCCATCTGTAGCTTATCATCTGTGTTCTCTGCCTAGAAAACTTTTTTCTTCCTATTTGATAATCTAAAAGTCTTTCATAACCTTCAAAAATCCATCTCATGTCTTAAGGATTTTCTTCACCTGCTTCTTTATTCCTCTTAAACATCTATTGATTTGACCTCAATGCTTTAAATGACTGGTGCTATCAGGTGTAACTGTGTTAAATTGCTTTGTAAATGTTTTCAATGCACAGTGTTTACTTTCATACCGCCTTACTTTTGGCTCATTGAGGTCAAGTATATATCTATATCTTTCAGCATATAGATAATAGTTTGTATATACTAGCTGTTAAATAAATAAGTTTTAAACCTCAACTCTGAATTGAGTTATGCAGTTTCTTCTCTCCTTCAAGCTTCTAAAGGTGAAAGGGCATCCTATCATGGACTATCATATACAAAGGTCTCACTGATATCTCTGTATATGTTCCTAGAAATCTTATTATTACTGGTATTTCTGCCTCAAAATTGTGTGTGTGTGTGTGTGTGTGTGTGTGTGTGTGTGTGTGTGTATGACAGAGTGTCTAGGTATTGTCTAGGGTAGTCATGTCCCACTGAGAGATATATTGCCCTGCATACTGACTGCAATTCCAAACTTGTTGACTGCATCCTACTTCCTCAATAAACAGGTTAAGAACAATACAGAGAATTGAGAATTCAGTGAGATGCATTTCTAGATGATTGGAATTCACAGTGATGAGTTTTGTGGTAAGATTATATAGTAGAGTCAAATGGATAAATTTTTTCCTTATCAACCAGACCTGTTTAAATTCAGTTGTCATCCTAATTTCAAGATGAAAGCTATACATTCAGACAATTTTAGGTCCATCTTTCATTCCTCAAAGACATAAGAAACAGAAAGTCTCAGAACTTTTTTTCTGTAGTCATTCACCAATCATGAACTTTATTGTCTTTTCCTTTCCACTGTTACCATGGGGCCCTGGTGCCAGAAGACTTCACCTCCAGTGTCTGTCTCTTTCAATTTCCATCCTCAGATTTCTTCTTAACAGAAAGAGAGTACTGGCAATATAGCAGAAATGGCTGAAGAGGCTAGAGGTACAGTGTCAGACATACAGCCTGAAGGGGAGATTTTGTGAACTGTGGTTTATGTCTAATACTGGAAAAGAAAGGGAAGAGTTGATGTTTAAGAAAATAATCAGATGTGATTCTAGGGGAGACATCTCAGACAAACTTAAAAAAGATTCTTGGAAGTATAAATTTTTGTGGGGGGGGACTTAAAAAGATTACTGAATTCAGGATACAACTTGAAATATATAATTTGTGAATTATATTTGTTTTTTTAATATTTTTTTTTTTTTTAGTTTTCGGTGGACAGAACATCTTTATTTTATTTTTTTTATGTGGTGCTGAGGATCGAACCCAGCGCCCTGCGCATACCAGGCAAGCGAGTTACCGCTTGAGCCACATCCCCAGCCCATTGTGAATTATATTTGTTTTCAACTTTTTTTTTTTTTTTTTTGCAAGCAGAAATTTTATTAAAAAGCAAAGTGAACGAAACAATCACAGCTCCCAGTGCAGTGCTGGGGAGGGGCAAGAGTGCCTCAACTATATTTTTGGTATTTGTTTCCATTTTCCTTTGAAAGTTATGAAAGAGTTCTGCACATAGGAATGTGTATAATCAAGAGAGTTACTTTGGGAGCTTCCAGATCCAAAGAAGAGCTGACCCTGTACCACTACATAGCCACGTGGGCTGCACATGGGCAACCTTCCACCTCGAGTTGGCCTTATTGGTTCTGTCATCCGTAGAACTGCCCTGCTTATTGAATACTGCAATTTTATCATCTGGTTCTTATCTATTCATCCTCTATCACACTAAGTCTTTTGGGGGTGAGGAACAGTTCTAGTCATAATGTTATTTGCCCACGACCACCATCCTGGTGTCAGTGTTAAATAGAAATGAATGTCCTAACTTCCTGGGAAAGCCTCAGGCTTTTGGGAGGGGGAGGGGATGAAAAGTGGCTACATTTGAAAGTCATTCCTCTCCCTATTAGTTATTGCTAATTAAATAAAATTACTGTTATAAATTGTTTGGATCCAGTTATTTGACTATATTATCTTTTCTCATAGTTTTATTTCTTAGTTTTGTAGGTATACAATTTGTTAAATATTCATTTATCTCGTTTTCCAATCCATCACTTAGGCATTGGTAAGAACTTCAAAATGTTGAATAGTGCAAAACAGGTATTCCATGTCTTCCTGTTAGAGGTAATGTTTTTAGCTTTTTGCAGTATCAAAGGGTTCATTTTGGGTTGATTTTTTTCTTTTCATTGAATTTAGTAAGTTTCCTTCTGTTTCTATTTTTAGAAGAAGGAGTGTAGTGGTTAAGAGCATAGGTTTGGTTCCTGGCATCATGCATTCAAATCCTGGCTTCATTGCTTTTTTAGGTGTGTGATCCTGGACAGATCACTTTGCTTCCATGTTTCTCAGTTCCCCCATCTATAAAATGGAGCTGCTTCATAGGATTGTAAAGTTTTAATTAGTTAATACGTGTAAGATACTTAAAACAGTGCTCGGCACACAGTATACAATATAGCAATTATTATACTTTGAATTTTTTCTAGTAGTGCTCTATCTAAATTTTGCTAATATATAGCAAAGAATCATCATGTTTACTGTCATGTGAAACATGCATAAATTTGCACCTAGTAAACTGTAAAATCCTTTATTTCCATATATGTGGTTAAAATTCCTTTTTCATATATGGTGTTTTTCATCTTTGTTTCCTTTCAGTTTTTTCTCTGTTGGGATTTCCAAGTGCCACTCCTTTCTTATTTTAAATTGTATTTTTTCTTGAATGTATTTTTTTAATATGTTCTCTTTTTGCCTCAAGTTGAAGAACATTTTTATTGGCCTTGCATTACATTTGTTGTTTCCTCATTAGTGAATGATGAGAGCTTTCCCATCCTGAGATTGGCCATAAAACAGGGAAAATAGATTTTCTTTGAATCCCTTCATAGTCTAATTAGATGTTTAGATCTGAAGCTAGAAGATTTAGTGGTGAATTTGCATAATTATATGCTTCAGCAATGAAATGGTTTCCCATTTGGTGAGTTGGCTAAAAACCATCTAGGACCAGCTTTTATATCTAGCATGCTTTTGACTCAGCCTCTACACTGGCTATCCAATGGAGCCTGTTTCCAAGTTCTCTGCCTCAGTGGGAATAAATAGCTTTATTGTGAAAGAGCTCAATATGCAAAAGCCTTCAGTTAGACTTTATTTTGCTTTTGTGGCTGTACATTGGGAAAATAACCTATTCTTAGTGTGTTTGTGGGGGTGCATTTGATTATAGCAGATATCATCCACCAAAGACTACACCTACAAGAAAGTCTTCTCATTTGTGGCTAGCAAAGCCTTTGGTTGTAGCTCATTTCTTACTTGACATGGGAATATCTATGGGCCTTTTTGATTTTAAGAAACCACTCATCATGGGGGCTGGGGTTGTGGCTCAGCGGTAGCTCTACCTACCTACACATGCTCGCCTAGCATGTGTGAGACCGTGGGTTCAATCCTCTGCACTACATAAAAATAAAATAAAGGTATTGTGTCTATCTACAACTAAAATAAATTTTTTTTAAAATAAAATTCCATCTTCCAATATACAATGGCACAGACTAAACATTCCCATTTTAAAAGTGAGGAATAGGGGTATGAAAAGAAGGGATTTTTTTCCAACACAAATGTAATCCAGCAAAGCAAACACTAAATTCTGTAGATCCATGTTTAGATCCATGCCACAAGATGGCATGAGGTGGCTCCAAAGGACTATAGCAGCCCACCCCTATGGCCATGTTGGCTATCCCACATGACTTGTCTCTTGGGCTAGCTCCACTGTCTGCCTGTAACTTTCCTCTGCAGGCATTCCATATTCCTGGCATCCCTAACTTCTTGGAGTCTTCATTGCATTATTATCAGCACTTTCAAAGCTTCACACATTGCTCTCTCAAGGGCTGCAGGGATTTCTGACCCTGAAACACATTGCTTGGTCTCTCAGACCCTCCTTTGAAATCTTGGTGGAAGACTCCATGACTCCCAAATCTCAATAATTTGCATTCCTACAAAACCAGCACCAGAATAAAATAGACATTATCATTGCTGTGGGTATATACGTGACTGCATGACCAATGTAATTCTGCAGACTGTATACTCAGAAAAATGAGAAATTATATCCCATCTGATTCAAATGATGATATGGCAAGACCATGGTACTTTGTCATGTGTAACTAATTAAAATTTTTTAAAAAGAAATTAAAAAAAAAAAAAAACAACCCAGCACCATGTGAACAATGCCAAGGTATCCCACCAACTCAGGAAGTAGCCCTGCCTCATCAGATGATGGATGCAGCAGCCTCTGAATACCTGCTGGGCTTAGCATTGTGAAACAAATTCTGCAGAAGCAGCTTCCTAGTCTGTCCTGTGTGAGCAGGGCTTCCTAGTGCTCTCTTCTCAAAGGGATGTCTTTAAAGTGAACTTTCACTTTTTCTTCTTTAAGATTGAGATGGGTGGAGTCTTACTGATTCCCCAGATGCCCTCAAGGCATTTCTTCTATGGTCTCTTTGCAGAGTACTAGGTTTCTCTTTAATGGTGCTAATCTTCTCAGGGCCACATCTTTATTGGCCTGTTTCACATTTGCTTTTTTTTTTTTTTTTTGTCCAAACTCTTAAGTTTTTCAATTTTTTTCTGCTCTGCTTTTTGCTTGTGGTTATCATAGAAATTCTGACTAAAAGCTTCCAGCAATAATCATGCCACTGCCCAAATGCTGTGGTGCCTTGAAATTTTCTCCACTAGATTAATTATTCTGTCACCTTTCAATTCAGTCTCACACAAAGTCTCAGGGCATGGATAAAATGTAAAAAAGTTCTTTGCCAGAAAGTGGCATATATGGCCTCTATAGCAATTCCCAATAGAATGCTCATTCCCATCTGAAACCTTATAAGGATGGTCTTTACTGTCTTTATTCATTTTGGCACTATGGTCTTCTGAAATTACATCAGAATTGTCCAGTAAGCTCTGTTTACAACATGTTAAGTCTTCCCTATCCTGCACCTCAAATCTTTTCCAAACTCCTCCCACACACTAGTTCCATATGCTTCTGAACCACATTGTCAGGTATAATCGAAACAACCCCATTTCCTGGTACTAATTTCCTGTGTTAGTCAGCTCTTTGCCACTGTGGCAAAAATATTTGACACAGCTTCAAGGAAGAAAGGTTTATTTTGACTTACAGTTACAGAGGCAGAATATTTGGTTTCCCAAATGGTACTATTGAAAAATCAGACTCTACCTCAGAGCAAAGCCTGTCCAAGGAAGGGACATGACCTTTGTCCTTGGAAAGACCCACAGAGCACTCCTAGGCACATTCCCACCCTGCTAAATTGTTTATCTATGAATAACAGGAGAGATCTGCTTCGTCAGATGTCCCTGACTCAGTCAGGCTAGGTGGAGACCCATAGTAACCCCCTAGCAGCCACCAATCAGCATGAGACAGGGAAATACCTGGGATGCCAGATGACCCTCCCAGTAGTTTATGGTGGTTGATAATGTGTTGGGAAACCATGTAATTCAGCATGAACACCCCTCTTGGCTTAAACCAATCAGTTCAAATGAATCCCCCTYTTGTAGTAACCAATCACCCCTACCCAACTTGTTCCCDCCAGTGAATGTGCTAATCATGTTTTAGAGTTGTTATTTGATTTTCCCACGGTGTGTGATGATTTGCTAAGAGATGCTATGATGTATGTGGGGGTCCCTGCCTTCTCCAAAGAATGTATAAAACTGCTGCAAACCCTGGGCTCGGAGCCTCTCAGCCTCACCAGTTGCTGTGTGTGCGTGCAAGGAGAACCAAGCTAGCTCACAATAAACATCTCTTTGCTGTTTACATCGATCTTGGTCTCTGGTGGTCTTTGGGGGGTCCTGAATTCGAGCTGAACACTATGTGGATTGTAGATAGAGTTGCAAAAAGGCCAATCATTTCTCATGGTTTGGATTAAATGAAATCACTGAAGAGTAATCCCAGGACAATATATACTTCCCTTAGACTGAATAAGAAATGACAGCTATGACTTCATGTTTTAGGCCATTTGAACATATCTAAACACCACGTGGAATACATTAAATATATGCT